GGAGCACGACACGGAACTAACCAGCAGAGCAGAAGGAAGGCAACAGCTGGCACTCTTGGCAAGGAAGGGATTTAAGACTCAGAGAAGCAGTTTTCATTTGCTAGAAGCAATTTAAGCATCTGGCTAAATGTATGGTGACTTTGTGAATCCAGTTATTTACAACCCCTGCTTGTTTAACTGCTGCTGATTTGGCAACATAAATCTTCAGCTTGGCTTTGGATTGCTTGACCTGGAATTCACCTTTGTCCAGTTAGATGCTTATCTGTGATTATTTGTTTCCCTGTTTTTTGCCTTTTACTTTGCCAATTCCTGCTGCCTTGCTGTCAGAATTTGTAGAGACTACACTTTCCCTTTATAGGGAAGCCCAGGAATTTTGTCTTGTTCCTGAAAGGTTGGTAAGAAAGCCTCCTCATCCATTTTGGGATCATTGAGAACATAGTTGGTTATTTATTGATTGCTTTGTCTTTGGGAAATATATTTCCCTAATATCCCTCAGTTCCAGTGGTGAAATCCTCTGCAGGTTGCCACCAGTTTGCTGCCTGCGCATGCGCAAAACGCATGTGTGTGCATTCATGCACAAATGCACACTGCGTGCATGCACAGTATACACCAAATGCATGTTGCACGCACATGTACATTGTGCACCAAATGCACACTTTATGTGGAAAAAGGAACTGTTTGAAGGTAAATAGAATAGCGAGGGGGGGGAACAGCTGTGCCGCGTGATTTAGATTCGCTAGAAAATAGGATTTCCTGCTTTCTAGTGAATATAAATCACGCAGCACAGCTGATCATCGGAAATACCGGTTCCGACAAACTGGTAGCTTTTTTTTACTACTGGTTCGCCTGAACCGGTGCGAACCAGTAGCATTTCACCCCTGCTCAGTTCCATATATTCATATCATATCCCTTCACTACACTCTTCTTCCATGGTCCTGAGACCTGTGCTACCTATCACTCAAAGATCTCCCTTTCTATTTTTAAAGATGAGGGTGATGTCCTCGCATCTTCTCTTGCTCTTCCCCAAATCTCCCAGCAGTCATGATCCAGAGTTCCACAACATTCACCTATTTGTAATGTTCTGTTTCCAGTCATGGAGTCAACTTCCTTCACTGCACCTCTTTGAATCCACTGGAGCAAATACAAGAATGTTCACTGAATCTTGAGACAATGTGCCTGTGTTTTTTCAGTAGGGACAAAATAGGCCTTCCATCTCTAGGAGGTATACTCAGGTTCTCATGGAACAGGTCCATATAAAATGTCTTCCAGCAGTTCTTAATGCTGACTAAGGTCGTAGCAAAGATGCACAAGAATCCAACTACATCCTTTTCATCCCATGGAGGCTTCAGCAGCCATGGTTTGCTTCATTTTGTGACTTGTGTACTGGGATTACATCCTATTCCCCAAATGGCCTGAACTTCTGTCTATCCATCGGGAAAAGTGCATAACCTAGATCTTTATTCTGACTGATTTACATCTTGAAGGAGTCGATTCCGGTAATCTGTCTTCATACGTTCTTCCCTGCTTGGTGCTAATGACTTTAGGATTTCATGCAGGATCAGCTATGTTGGTATCAGGAATTAAGAGGATTTAGCATGAAATGCAGCTAGTCATTCATTGTATGCATGGAGGACATGACTCCAAGCAAAGCATGCCATATGTCAGGCCTGGAAGCCATATTTTGCATTGGGCCTTCAGGCCTGGGTGTGACTGGGAGGCATCTCCAGTTGGGATGGTGCTTTGATTGGACCATGTGATGGACTTGTGGGTGTTGGGCAGGGATTTGGACTTTCCTTTGGGTGGGGAAAACCTGGAAACTTTCAGAATCGGGTTTTCCAGATGTGCCAATATGACATCTCTAATAAAATGGAACTTTCGTTGGGGGTGTTACTTGGAACCCTGACATTATACACCTTAGCAGATTCTGAATGGGCTTTGCAGAAGTGGGAAGCCCTTTGGTGAATTCACAGAAGACTGCTCAGTTTCATTGTAGGTAAGTAATTGGTTCATGTGATTGGCTGTTAAAGTAGAATAAACCATAATGAGCACTGATGCTGTTTCTGAAAGTACCTCTACTGAAAGGTTGGAGTATTGAATTGATAGGAAGTTAAGAAGTAGAAACGACTCTAAATCATAGTTTATCTTTTCATTTGGAAGCTCAGACCAGTGATTAGTATAAATCATGGTGTCAGAAAGAATCCTCTACTAGAGCCAGATGTAATTAGAGCCCAGGAGGAAAAGAATGATTTGGGTTGACAATATTAATCCATTCATTCTCTCTAAAATAAACTGCTTGTCACTGCTATTTTCCATTTTTGCCTAAGCCAACGAAAGATAGTCTTTAGGGATAAAGGCAAACTGTTCCTGTATTTAAGCAGCTGCCTAGAACAATCAATGCCTTACCTTTGATTCAGGTTGCAAAATAAGCTTTGCTCATTTTGGAGTAAATGTGGCAGAGACGGATCAAGATATATTTGTTTGTTGTTGGTTAGTTTGATTTATATGATGTCCAGTTTGCAAAAAGCAACCCTGCGCGGCTTACAATTGGACAGAAACACACACACACAAAAAAACTAAAAACGAAGCACAACCAATGCCTGGATCTGAAAAGAGAATAACAAAATAAAAGCTAACAGAATAATTGAGACCAGCCATAGTTTTCATTCTGGATGGGTTCATCTCACACTCTGGCCCAGTGTCCAGAAGGGCCATATTTTCAGGACTTTATAGAGGGCTAGTAGGGTCAGACCATTTGAACCTTGGAAAATAATATTCTATAAAGCAGGTGCCATGACAGAGAAAGCATCACCAGGTCCCATCGGGTGTCATTCTTTCTGCCAAATCTCATAGAGTAAGCAGAGACAATTGGAGGCGAGCTGTCCTACAAATAACCTAGCCTTAGGCCATGTAGGGCTTTTATTGTATAGATGATAACTGGCAACTTGAACTGCATCCATGAGCCAACACAGCTCACAAAATTTCTTGTTGTTCCATCACTAAGTGGTGTCGACTCTTTGTGATCCTGTGAATTATAGCACTAACCAGGCCCTCACTGTCCTCCACTGTCTCCCAGAGTTTGCCCAAATTCATGTTCACTGCATTGATGACACTATTTAACCATCTCATCCTCTACTGTCTCCTTTTCCTTTTGCCTTCAATCTTTCCCAATTTAGGATCTATTCCAATAAATCCTCTCCTCTCACTAGGTGGCCAAAGTATTTGAGCTTCAAATTCACTTTCTGTCCTTCCAAAGAACAGCCAGGGTTGATTTCCTTTAGGATTGTCAGGGTATGTAGATTTAATTGCTGTAAGCTGATGAGAGGTTGTAAGCGGAGGCAACCGGAAGCTGATGCAATGGGAATGAGGCAGCAGGATTACTGCCACTTTAAGAAGCTGGGTAATAAGCTGCCTGTATAAGGAAAACCATTAGAGGGTGTCTCCCTTCTCCTCATGTTCCCTCTCGTCGTGTATCTCATTGCTCTCCTTGTGTCAGTAGCTGTATGATAAGGTATTTACCACATATAAGTTTGTATATATTTAGCTGTAGATAAAACCACTATTAATTATCTAAAGGCTCTGTGTGCTGTGTTTTGCTCCTGGGTTTATCTCATAATACTAGTTACGCTGCCTAACTCTGACAAGAATTGACTGATTTGATATCCTCTCAGGAGTCTTCAACACCACAATATGAAAGCATCAGTTCTTCAGTCTTCAGGCTTTCTTAAAACCATATACTATTAGTGGGAAAACCAAAGCTCTCAAAGTAGTGGTGTTATATGAGTGCACTGACTTGTGTCCAACAACTACTTGTGTTGCTGCATTCTAGGCCAATGACAGCTTTTGGGTAGCTTTCACAGATAGCCCCACGTACAGCACATTGCAGTAGTGCAAACCAGAGGTGGCCAGAGCACAAATGATTGTGATTGCAAGTAAATGATTGCAAGTAAAGGAACTTAATGGTATTTCAGGCTTGCCACTCTCTAACTGTTGAAAGGGGGGGTTACTTAGATAAAGGGGGAATGTTATGTCTAGGTGGCATTCCTTCCCATAGGAACAGAGAAGATGCCTGCAGCTGGAGGAAGATGGAGTTTGGAGTCACTGGACTGATTGGACTGAGAATTGATTGGAGATTGTGACTAAGGGGGAAAGTTTCAAACTTTTGCTTTTTATTGGGTATAATTCCAGATTCTGGCCAGAGTCAGAATTACACCAAGTCCTTGCCAATTTGATATGTTCCTAATAAAACAGACTTTGATGGAAAATGGATGCCTTGGACTGTATTTCATGGGACATGTTACTTGGAAGCTTGACGAAGCTTTTTCAGACTGGATGGTGGGATATGGAAGGATTTATATTCCTTGCAGACAGCTGGTCATTTGCATCCTTTTTGAGGGTCATTGAAGCACACCCTTCGAATGGTGTGGGAGTAGGAACAGATCCCCCCCCCAAAAAAATTACAGACTACAGGAACCATTAGCACTACTCAGGTGACCCTGAGGACACAGATAAACCTTCAAGTGGCCTCAACGACCCTCAAAAAGGATGCAAATGACCAGCTATCTGCAAGGAATATAAATCCCTCCATTCCCCACCATCCAGTCAGAGCTGAGGAAGCTTCTTGTATGTGAAGTGAAATGTCTTCAAAGGAAAAAACCAACAAACCAGAAAGTCCAGTTGCCTCCTGAAAAAGCATCTTTGCGACAACCATGACCCGAATGACTCTGAGTCTCTACAGACTTTCTTACTGGAAGTTAGGTGCAAACAATAAAAATAAGACTTTCTTTGGAAATCACTAACAGACATCTTTGTGCCATTTAAATTCATGACCAACACTTCCCCAAAACTATGCAAAAAAGTTCTTCATAAGTAGTCTTAGATTGTTAGGGTTATTGGGTTTCCCTTTATTGTCTTAAGCATCATCCTGTAATTTGGAACTTTTATCTTGTTGGCTCCAAATGCCACATTTTTTAACCACTTCTCCTTTCATTTTTTTTGTTTAGCAAAATAAGCTTCCTCAGAACTGCTGTCCTTTGCTTGTATTTGTGAATCCCAAAAGCGGAGGTCTTAAAGGTCGGAATTTGCTGTACAGTTTCCGAAAACTGTTGAATCCTCATCAGATCTTTGAACTAACAAATGGAGGTCCACTGCCTGGGTAACCTATTGTTTCTATTCAATACATCTTGACTATTTCACATGTTACTTGTTTTGGGTGATCTTTTTTTATTTTCCTTGCTCTTTTTTCTCCTTGCTCTTGGCCTTGCAAAGCTGCCGAAGCCCTAAGCAATGGCCAAATGGAAATAGCTCGACTGACATTTTTACTCTGCCCGTACTCCTTGGAGAAGAAATGAAGAGGATAGCATTTCCTCCTCTTAACTCTTTTTTGTTCCTGAACCCTTTGTGTTAAAATTTGGCACTGCGTAAATGACTCGGGAGTTTGAAAATCTGTAACCTTGGTTAATTAGGCGATCTTGTATCGCTTCAATACGGGTGAGAAGATGGCGTTGCCAAGGAACGTCTTTAAGATTTTGCAGCTGCTGGATAGGGATTTCCTAATTCTCTCTTTGACCAGAAGATTCTGACGCCTTATCATCTGTTTATTTTGGAAGGTTATTCGAATTGGATTTGCAAAGCTGCTGTTTGCAAAATGCAGATCCGAAGCCTTGGGCTAATGCTCCACAAAGACTTTGGAAGCCAGCCACCTCTTTCAAAAGCTTTTAGTGCAGTAATTAGGAAGCATCACAGTGTGAATAGCAATGTGGCTGAGCTTGGACAATACTCACGCCAAAAGGTTCAGTAAAAAAAAAGAAAAGAAAAAAGAGATGTTTAGCTCTACTGTCAAATAATAAATCTTTGCACTCTTTTCAATAGGCTTTAAAGTCACTTATTAAAACTGTCGGAGTGAGTTGAATAAAGGCCATTTCTATTTTTTGCATTGGGATTTGGCAGCGGTTATTCCAAAGAAAAGAAGCTAATTTGTCAAAGACACAATGATGCAAAGAATGAGAAAGAGAGAAAGCTGAAAACTCTAGACATTTGCCCTTTATTGGAAAATAGACTGAACGTTTATTACATGACTTTCCCCCCCTACTTACATATGTAAATTTTGATAAAGTATTAACTCTTGAAAATGAAACATTACAGGGTTTTTTTTTCCTACTTAAACTGCACGAAATACACTCACATGTTCTACAAGGTTATTTTTTTTAATAAATAGAAAACAGAAATTAATTTTAGGTTGGTTTGAGTACTTTTTCCCCTCAATTTTATTTATTGGTGATGAGGTGTTTTTTTTTTTTTCTTTTTCAAATAGCCAAAAAACTATTTTGCTTTTTTTCTTCTTGCCACATGCAAATCTGTCGTCTTTTCATTTTGAGTGCGTATTACATAGCTGGAAAGTGATACTATAAAAAGTTAGTGGGCACAGTTCTGTTTTTTCGGCCTTTAACAGATTTGTAGAAGAAAGCTTAATAGAATTTCAGATGACAGAGCATAGCATGAAAATTAAAGCAGTTATATTCCATTTATCTTCAGCAAGAGAAGTAATAACATTAATTTTCTGTCTTTACCGTGGTCAAATGCTTTCATTGTTCAAGCAATGCACTTGAATTTCAAAGACCAAGTGGGCTTATCTATGTTACACATGAATGTGTTTTTGAGTAGTCAATTCCCATTTTTCAGACCAGCAAGATATTTAAATCAAATAACCATTCTCGAACTCTGAAGAGCACTTTAGCATGTTTTAATGCTCTCCTAACAGCTGTTTTTGAGGGCAAATGTAATCTGAAAATCTGAGATTGAGAAGGACTTTTTGGCCTTATAGCTCATGCCCTGTATTGAGTCTATAAGGATACCAAGGCCCATTCCATCATTCCATATACCGTATTTTTTGGAGTATAAGATGCACTGGAGTATAAGACGCACTTTAGTTTTTGGGGAGGAAAATAAGAAAAAAGCTGATTGGCAGGTGGATTGGCCTCCCGGAATACCCCCAATCAGCTGTTCCCAGAGGTGAATTTTAGCAACAGGTTCGTTGGTTGTGAGCTCTGTGCCTTGCTTTTTTTTCAGCCTCTGAAACTCTGTTTCAGAAAAAACTTTTTTTCTACCTCCAAAAGCCTCCGAAACAGAGCTTCAGAAAAAAAGCTTCTGAAACTTCCTAGCTCTGTTTCGGAGGCTTTTTTTCTGAAGCTGTTTGGAGGCTTTTTTTCTGAAGCTTCATTTCTGAGGCTTTTTTCAGCCTCTGAAATCACTGTTTGAGCAGCTGGGTGGGGCCACATTCAGAGTATAAGACGCACCCAGAATTTAACCCTCTTTTTTAAGGGAAAAAGGTCCATCTTATACTCCAAAAAATATGGTATATGGAATGCCCATCTCTCCAAGACATGACACTAAGTGGCTTGCAAAATAAAACATTAAATAATAAAATAATAAATATTAATGTTAAAATTTATTTAAAATTAACAAAGATGGTAGGAAGGGAGCAGGATGCATATGAGGTGAAGGTGAAGTCTTATTTGAAAAAGAATATTAGGTTGGCTCATTTTTTGTTTATTTTTTCTGATTTTGGTTCTATTATGTTAGAATATGAAAAAACATACCATGTTTAATACAACCAGATCTTCTAGAATGAAGAGGTAATACTAGATCATTCTGTGAGTGATCTTCATACTATTGTCAGTATCTCAAAAGCATTCAGACCAGATCCATAAAGTTACTCTTGTGCATCTCCCAGGAATCTGAGCCCAATGAGATTTCTTAATTCTTTCTGTTGACCTTCAAATTGCTTTTGGAGCTGGAAGGGTTGCTGCTGGATTAAATGAAGTCCAATCTCTCCTTGCCTATGTAGAATTCATCTGGTTCTTGGGATACTGACTTCAGTCTATTAAAAAAAGAAGATACATGAGCCCATGTCTGATTTTAGTTGCTGGATAGATTGAAAGAAAACTGTACAAATGCTTGAATTCGCAATTTTACTTATAATAATATTGTGCTTGTTGTTTTTTATACACTGAAGATTTCATACCTTCTCTCAAGTTCCATATTTCCGAATATTGGTATGCGGTGGTGATGGCACAGTTGGATGGGTCCTTGGTGCCCTGGAAGAGATCAGGCACAAACTCGCCTGCCCTGAACCATCTGTGGCTATTTTGCCTTTAGGAACAGGTGAGACTTGAACTGCGGATTTTAGGAAGAAGAAGGGCAATGGATGAGAATTCCCATAAGCTCATAGATTCTATCATTCCGCAAATTAAATTAGCACTGGCTACCGTTACAGCAAACTGGTTATTAGATTACTTCCAATGGCAAATTCAGCAAATGTCTCATTTTAACTTTGTAAGTGATAATTAAAAATGGATTTGAATCAATGGCCTTGTAGATGTGGTAGAGCTACAACTCCCAGTAGTCTACACCAGTGGTTCTCAACCTTTTCTTCACCACGGACCCCTTTTAAATACCTTATGTGGTCCCGGACCACCAAGACTTAACTCAAGATTTAAATCACAACATTTCTTCAAGACTTTGTGGACCCCACTGTGACATCGTGACCCCTCAGGGGTTTTTGGACCACAGGTTGAGAACCACCGGTCTACACCATTGGTCAGAAGTAGTAGGCCTATTGAAATTCAGGTTAAGTGAGAGTAAAATATTTTTCTTTTTCTTTAGTAGATTTTTTTTTAAATGAAAACATGCCCTTTTTGATCAGGTAACGATTTGGGGAGGGTCCTGCGCTGGGGTGCCGGCTACAGTGGCGAAGATCCGTACTCCATTCTGATATCCGTAGATGAAGCTGACGATGTGCTTATGGATCGTTGGAACATCCTTTTAGATGCTCAAGAGGCACTGGAAAGCTCAGAAAATGGTGTGTTAGAGCCAGAACCTCCTAAGGTATTTCTCAATTTTTCCTTCCTGAAACTATAACAATAGCAACAAAAAAAAATAAAAATAAAAAATAAAGGAAGATACTGAAAATATAAAACTCATAAATGATTTTTGGACATAATTTATAGTCTTCTCTTCATTATAATAATAATAATAATAATAATAATAATAATAATAATAATAATAATAATAATAATAATAATAATAATAATAATAATAATATGACCAATTATATTTACCAAGAGCAGAGGGTGGTCGAGGACTCCTACAAGTAAAGCAGACTGTGGAAGAAGAAAAACGCAGCTTGAATGATTACATCCAGAAAAATGAAGAACCAATGATTAAGGAAGTAAATAAAAGAGGCCTTTTAAAGACAACTAAAACAAAAGCAGAATATAAGAAAGAAGTAATTGAGCAGTGAGCTGAAAATTGGAAAAGCAAAACTCTGCATGGCCAGTACTTGAAAAGTATTGAAGGCAAAACTGACCAGAAACTAACTTGGAACTGGTTAAGATCAGGAGTACTGAAAAAAGAAACAGAAAGCTTTATTTTGGCAGCTCAAGAACAAGCCCTAGCCACAAACTGCGTGAAGGCAAAAATTCAACATGTTACCACCAACAGCAAATGCCGCCTCTGTAATGAGAAAGATGAGACAGTCGACCACCTGATTAGCGGGTGCAGCAAAATTTCACAAACTGACTACCTACAACGCCATGACCGCGTTGCTAAGATCATCCACTGGAAATTGTGCCAGAAGTTTGGATTTGAGTACAGCAAAAACCATTGGGAACATCAGGTTGAGAAAGTTTTAGAGAATGAGAAACTCAAGATCTTGTGGGACTTTAGGATTCAGACTGACAGGCACTTGGTCCACAACACACCTGACATAACAATAGTTGAAAAGAAAAAAATATGGTTCATTGACATTGCAGTACCTGGTGATGCACGGATTGAAGATAAGCAGCAAGAAAAAATCACAAAGTACCGGGACTTGCAAATTGAAGTTGAGCGACTGTGGAAAAAAATCGTGTGTTGTCCCGATTGTAATTGGAGCCCTTGGAGCAATACCCAAAGGGCTACCCTGCTAGTTAGAAATTCTAAATTTGCCGGACTTGAACATTTTGACTCTACAAAAAACCACCTTACTCGGAACAGCTTACATCCTCCGACGATACCTTAACAGTTCCTAGGTCCTTGGTTAGGACTCGAGCTGCTGAGCTATTAACCAGCCTCAAAGGCTGTGAATCTCACTAAAGATTAAATAATAATAATAATAATAATAATAACAACAACAACAACAACAACAACAACTTTAATTTCATTGTACGTGTATACACAGTATACCCATACAACGAAATTCATTTAACACCCAGATCCAACACACATAACAATCCCCAAACATACCCCCACCCACCACAAATTCCCCACCCCTAAACCACCCAAACATCCGCACAACAGACCAAGTAATGCTGTCCAACAGCTTCCTGATTTTCCCTTCACTTTTGCTTCTACTTATGGGTATTTTTTTTTCACCATAATTAGTCTCTTTCTCACTCTCTGTTCCTCTTTTCTGATGAATATACAAGTCATAGTGAAAATTCTTATCTTAATGATGATGCAATGTTGACAGACAATTATGCACAGGGGTCTAAGTCTATGTTAAAAAAAAATCAATATTCTGATTACTTGTGAAGGATGTGATTTTATTTTGAAAGGTCTATAAATTGCTATGCTGCTTTGTTACACATTTTCCCTAATTAGAAGATTGCAAAGTTATGAAATATGGTAATTAGAATATATATGTTTGATAAAGTAATTACCACATGGCTAGGATTTTTATAAAATCCTTGTAAAATGGATCACAGTTTACTTCTCGTTCCTTTTTATAAACCAATAAAGCAACAGCTGAGTGTGCTGTTCTATTCTAGGATAAGCACAGTAAACTTTACATTGTCTGCCACATAAAATGAAATCACCAGCTTTCTTATGTAGCCTCTTGAAATGCATTATGTGAAGAATGTGTGGGATTTAATGTGAGATATGTCATATCTCTTCAGATAATTTTCTAAGGAAAATTATGTGTTTCTGTATCAAATCTGGAGACCATCCATCTCACTCACAAGGCGGACTCTGAGCAGTGTACAATTAAACCATAAAAATATGATATCAGCATTTCAATATTTGAGGGGCTGCCACAGAGAGGAGGGGGTCAAGCTATTTTCCAAAGCACCTGAAGGCCAGACAAGGAATAATGGATGGAAACTGATCAAGGAGAGATTCAACCTGGAAATAAGGAGAAATTTTCTGACAGGGAGAACAATCAACCCATGGAACAGAAGTTGCCTTCAGAAGTTGTGGGAGCTTCATCACTGGAAGCTTTCAAGAAGAGACTGGACTGCCATCTGTCAGAAATGGTGTACAGTCTCCTGCTCCTGCAGGGGGTTGGACTAGATGACCTACAAGGTCCCTTCCAACTCTGTTAATCTGTTAAGGAGAGATATAAAATATATAAACAATGTATTCCGATAGGAGGCAATTAAAACAAGAATAACATTAACAAAAGTTAAAAAGATGGTGGGAGGGTCTTTATGTCTTCAGATACTTCTGAGAGGCCAGGAGATTGGGGGACTCACCTCACCTCTGGGGGATAATGTTCCAAAGGCCAGTGTCTATGGCAGAGAAAGCTTTCTTCCTGGACTCCAGGAAGATCGTGTTAATCTGGTTTCCCCAGAAATCACTTAGAAAAGGCTCTCTTCCTGGATTCCAGGAAGTTTATGTTAATCTGCTTTGTCCAAAATCACTCAGAAAAATCATGACTACATAAGCAGGGGTCTAATTCTTTCTTGGCCAAATCCTATGCTTTGACTATCTTTTTATTTTGCTGCAAAATTCACATATTCTGTGCAGCGATACGACAGACTAAAAACAAAACATACATTTGACAGTGTAGAAAAAGGAAAAGACGACAGATAAACTGGATGCTGAGAATTGAGAATGGTACTGGATTGCCTTTGGAAATGCTATGAGTTCTCATGAAAGACAGATAGACATTTGTCCTTGAAGACAAATATCAAGATAACATTTGTCTGTTCAACCAGAAGTTGAACCTAACTAGTTAGGATCTGCTTTATACTGTAGTTCTTTTTAAATTGGAGAGTTTATATTGGCGATGTTCCTGTGTATTTGTTAGAAATTAGAAATAGTTTAATTCAAAATGTAAAATTTCATTTCTACTTTTTTTTCCTCCAGATTGTACAGATGAATAATTATTGTGGCCTTGGAATTGATGCAGAGCTGAGTCTAGGTTTCCATCATGCTAGGGAAGAAGAGCCAGACAAATTCAATAGCAGGTATTTGGAATTTTTTTTGAGAAAAGAAACAACCTGTCCCACTAACTGATAATCATTGAGAAGAAACGTTCATATGTTTCAGCTCATTAATACAGGTGGTATTTGACTTACGACTATAATTGGGTCTGGAAATAGGGTTGTAAGTTGTGTGGTAGTTAAATGGATCACATGGCCACCTGATTTTATAATTATTATTTTTTTTGCAATGGTCATTAAGCAAATGTGACACTCATAAAGCAGATGCTGTGGTTATTAAGGGGTTTAAAGTTGTCCACAATGGGCATTTTTGCCAGAAACCAGAAGTAAACACCAGTTTCTGGCAATACACATCATAAATTGCAATCGTGAGTGTGGGACACTGCAAATGGCTGTAAATGCAGCCTGGCTACCAAGTGCCCAAAATGTCATCATGCCCATTGGGAATGACATCAAATCTGGATTATAAATAGCTGGGGAGCTAAGGTGGGCACCACTTGAGCTTCTTTCGGGTGGAGGAGGAGGCAATGGGGTGTCACCACAGGATAAGACCTTCTTATAAAAGCTCACAGAATTTCTTTTGGTGATGAGACCTCGAAGAGGACCTTATTAGCTGCAAGTACTGAGTAGGTATATATGGGAGAAGACAACTTCTTCAGGTGACCTGGTCCTAAACCATTGTGGTTTTTAAAGGTCTAAACCAGGGGTCTGCAACCTTAAATACTCAAAAAGCCATTTGGACCCGTTTCCCACAGAAAAGAAAACACTGGGAGCCACAAAACCTGGGTGGGCGTAGCCAACTTGATGTCACTCACTTCCACCAGTCACATGACACCCCCCTAGCCACGCCTACCCAGCTGGTCATTAGGGCAGAGAACCAGTTGTTAAAAAAACTGGGAATCACAAAATTCTTTTGACATCTCTCTCTCTCCCCTCCCTCCCTCCCTCCCTCTCTCTCTCCCCCCTTCTCCCTCTCTCTGTGTCTCTATGTCTCTCTGTCTCCCCCTCTGTCTGTATCTCTCTGTCTCTGCCCTAGCTGCTTCTCCATCCCCTGCCATCGCCCTTGCCTTCTCAGGCCAGGTGAGGAGTGACTGGGAGGGGAGGGCGAGGGGTGGGGCCAGCCAGTGGTGGGATCACCTGACAGGGAGCCACAGCAGAGGGCCCAAAGAGCTGCATGCAGCTCCGGAGCCGTAGGTTGCTGACTCCTGGTCTAAAGCAACACTTTGAATTGGACCTAGACCGGGAACCAGCATAGATGACAAAGAACTGGAACCATTTGTTCAGATCAAGTGTCCAGATCATTTTTAAAGGCAACTCCATGTACAATGTAAGAGAATATCTGTTACAAGATAATCTTTGCTCAGGGTAATATAGAAATGTACATGATACATAATAATATTAAGAATATTATTAAAAATTGATATCAGGATATCATGGCAACTCTAACTCTAATCAGTGGGTAAACACCATATCTCATACTTGTCCAATTAGAAGATCATGCTTCTTCCTATTTGGTGCCTCAGTTGCCCAGCTACATGTCCATCTGGTCTGTCTTGGCTGATCTTAGACAGCTAAGTAAGGCCAGTTATTATTTGGATGGGAGAACATCTGGAAATTCAGGAGTTAGACTGGAACATTTATATTAAAAAAAAAAAATCTCAGAAAATTGTAATGGGGGATTGCTTCCATATTTTCCAAGAAATCTATGAGGTTGTATGACCTCATACTTATCTGAGCTTATCTGAGCTTGAAAGAGACTACCATTTCTCCCACTTTTCCCAGTTTCAGACTCATGAGTGGATGTGTGTTTTATCCCATGGCTGCTAATTTTGCTCAGATAAAGCCTTTCATGAAGGCTTTGTCTAAGTCTTTTGAAAATCCAAACATATACTAACTATCGGGTCATCTCTATCTGTAGTCTCAGAAAAGTGAGACAAGGCTTGCCTCTTCAGAATATCAGTAGCTCTTCCTCCAGTTCTCCCCACCCCCACTGTCTTTGACAATTTTCTTTTTAATAGTATTTCATACCAATTTAGATACATGGAGCTAAGAGACGTGGTTAGAATGCAGTATTGCAATAATCTAATTCTGCCAAATGCCAGCAGTTCGATTCTGACCGGCTCAAGGTTGACTCAGCCTTCCATCCTTCTGAGATTGGGAAAATGAGGACCCAGATTGTTGGGGGCAATATGCTGACTCTGTAAACCGCTTAGAGAGGGCTGTAAAGCACTGTGAAGCGGTATATAAGTCTAAGCGCTATTGCTATTGCTAACTGGCTTCTTGTTCATAGGAATGATAGAAAAATAATGCAAGATACTGTCAGTGTTTTTTGTGGAAATAAATTCAACCATCATATAAAAACTCGTCCATTGTGTTTATTCACATGAAGCCTGCCCTCCCTGTGGGGAAGGGAGAACCTTGACACAGCACACTTGGTACCTGCCAGAGGCATTAGAGTACAGTTCCCATTATCTCCAATAATCATACTGGTTGGGTTGAAGAGGGATAATACTCCAAAAGATACAAAGCAGAAGACTGAGTTATTCTTGATTCTCTTAGTTTAAGCTCAAAAAAAACACTTGAGCCTTGTTTTTTCAACAATTCCCTGCATATCTACATTCATCATAGTTCCTAAGTAAACATGTCAAGAGTAAGCTGTTCTTCTGTTCACACTGAATCCCATTTCCAGTGAATTGCTCTCGGATCACTGTTCTGATATTTCAGTTTAGAAATGTATGATCTCACTCTGAACTTTGAAGCATTCATCTAGTAAGGCCCAATTTGATTCTACGTTCCAGTGTAGAAACTGGTCTTCATATAGGAGCAAAGATGTTTGAAAATTCTGTTATGCAACCTAATTGAGGCTGAGATATGGTCACTTTTTAAATAATGTACAGCCCTGTTCCATTTCAGGCTTGATTTGCTAAACATATACTTATCTGAATGAGGAAAGCAAGTCTCCCATAAAATTAGAGTAAGAAACTATTGTGTCAATAAGCAAACCACAGCCCGTGATGTACCATTTTTATAAAAGAAACACAACTTTTATTTCTAGGCTACACAACAAAGGAGTCTATGTAAAAGTTGGGCTGCAGAAAATGAGCCACACCAGGAGTCTTCATAAAGAAATCAAACTTCAGGTGGACCAGCATGAAGTTGAGCTTCCAAGTATAGAGGGTCTTATTTTCATCAATATTCCCAGGTAAGTACTAGAACCTGGCTTTGGATTTGCTTTTTTACCAAACAGTCCTTATGTTAATGTTTACAGCTGCTTTATTTTGATAGTTAAAATTGCTTTATTAATACATATTTTTGGGTGCTTTTGTATTAAGAGTTTGCTTTGCATTCTGAGTTACGTTATTCTACTGTGGATTTAATAAACAACTGTGAGTTGTTAATGCATAGCAGCTTCAAGTTCATGTGCTTCTTCTTTTGAAGGAGGTCCTCTTTGAGTTTGTTTAGACTAGCACTGATGATGTTACCTAATTTTGGCTAATGAAACGACTTCAAGAAAAGCACCAGGTTCAGAGAGCACCAAGCACCCCTCATTTCAATCCTGAGCTACAAATATTCACCTTTGTTCTTCTTCTGTTGGGACTGCAAACATATTATACAGATGCTAACACTGCAACTGTATACTATCTTGTTTCCAGGTTTAAATATACTACACTGGGGCTATGGAATTTGGTCTATTGGTTAAGTAACCAGGCTACAAACCAGGACACTCTGAGTTCTGGTCTTCCCTTAGGCATGAAAGCTGGCTGGGTGACTTTCAGCCAATCACTTTCTCTCAGCCCATCCCACCTCACAGGCTGGGGAAAATAGGTGGAGGAAGGAGCATTAGGTATGTTTACCTCCTTATATATAAAAATAATAAAGGCAGGATAAAAAAATTAACAAGTCAACTTTCTGGTTTATCTGATTTTAGACATGATGCTTAATGGCTAATTTAAAATAGGAGAAAACATTTTGGTCCACACTTGGCATTGCCAAGGAATGGCAAAAAGGCTTGTAGGCTTTAGCGATTGGCTAAGTAGCATTCATGTAATGGCAAAAAGCTATGATATATTGCACTGTTCAAGTGAGATGCATATATATGCCATGCCTGTGTGTATCATTCGCTATAGCCTACACAGATTTAAAGAGAGAGGGGCAACTATTTCGCAGAGATACAAAACAGTTTAAAAATGTATGAAGCATAGTGACATGAACAAATGGACTCTGTCCTAGCTGTTCTACTTATTGTTCCTCCTGCCTTTGTCCATTCAGCTTCACTTCTGAACAGATGAAGCTGCCTTGTACAGAATCACGCCATTCTTGAGGTCACTAATGTTTGTGCCAGCTGCCCAGAGCTTTTCATTGTCTTGTATGGACATTATTCCCCCCCCCCCCTTTGCCTTTTACCCAAAATCTTTTCATCCGACGATATCAGCAACAAGCTTCTCAGGTTACAAACATGAGACTCTTCTGAGAATTCTAATAAATAATAAAATAAAAAATAAAAATAAAAATCAGTTACCTGTCAAATCTATCTTCTGTATATAAGTAGAATAGAACAGAACAGAACAGAATAGAATTTTACTGGCCAAGTGAGATTGGACACACAAGGAATTTGTCTTGCTGCATACACTCTCAGTGTACATGAAAGAAAAGATATGTCAAGAATCCTAAAATACAACACTTAATGATAGTCAAAGGGTACAAATAAGCAATCAAATCATATTAGGAAACAGTCAATATAAATCGTAAGGATACAAGCAACAAAGTTACAGTCATACAGTCATTAGTGGGAGGAGATGGGTGATAGGAACGATGAGCAGATTAGTAGTAGTGCAGATTTAATAAATAGTTTGACAGTGTTGAGGGAATTATTTGTTTAGCAGAGTGATGACGTTCAGAAAAAACCTGTTCTTGTGTCTAGTTGTTCTGATGTGCAGTGCTCTATAGCGTCATTTTGAGGGTAGGAGTTGAAACAGTTTATGTCCAGGATGCGAGGGGTCTGTAATTATTTTCACAGCCCTCTTTTTGACTTGTACAGTCAAAAAGAGGTCCTCAATAGAAGGCAGGTTGGTAGCAATTGTTTTTTCTGCAGTTCTAATTATCCTCTGAAGTCTGTGTCTCTCTTTTTGGGTTGCAGAACAGAAAAATATAGAGAAGGTGTTATAAGAATGATTCCTTCTGTTACCATTAGTGTGTCTATTATTTATATTATAGACACGCTAATATTATAGATAATACAAGGAAATATTGGAGATATGGATATAAGGTTCACTAAACCAGCATTTGTTCGGCTTAGCTGGATTCATGCATCATACAAAGCCAAAATCAGACATATCCTATTATGATGTAGCACAAATTGTGAATCCAATCAACATATGGATTATTTGCAAAGGCTTTTAAAATGAGCCCTGAGTATATTAAAGGACAGAAAAACAAATGAGATGAAACTAATTTTTAAAATAACTAGGCAAATGCATTTTAGACAGTTTCTACATTTTTTTCATTTTTAAAGTAATTAAAAAAAATCTATATGAAAAATGTATTACCAATCTTTTAATCTGACATGATCCGAATAACAGATCTAGCTTATTAATTATACTCACTTCTGAATAAACTCTTGTTTGTTTCTTTATAAACACTAGCACATCTTCATAGGTTGGCTTGGTACGTCAGCACAGAGCTTTTCTTTTCGTGGCCTAGTCTTTATTAAATTCTGTGGATTAACATAGGATTTATGACTGATCTTCATTTTACCTAAAGGTTTTGCAGTATGTCTGCTGCTCTTACGCGCCCTCTGCAGGTCATTAAGATAAGAGCAGAGACTGTATCTAAATGTTACCTGGTCTTCTGATTATTAAATACTTATTGTTCTCTTTCAAGTTGCTACAATGGCCCTGTATGATGCCAGTAATTACAGAGGGGGGGGGGGCGACTGTATGTACTGTATGTATTGTTTGTACACTTGTTTTTCTGTTTTAATTTCCTGCAAAATAAATGCTCCAGAGTAAACGTTTTACAGAAATAAAATTTAAGTATTAGAGGTTTAAGGTATGATTTGTCACAGAGTCAACCCAGACTGGATTTGGCATTTTTATTTACTTATCAACTCCTTCCCAAGGACCTGGGATAGGCAAATGTTGTTTGGCGATGTTAATGGTACCTTCACAGGATGTAAGTTGTTTCAAGTAAAGCTGCCTTTTGCAGTTGACTGATTGTGATTTTGCCAATTGCCAATGCCATGTTCCAGTTGTTTTCTTATTATTAGGGCATTATTGTTAATCACCCAGAGATACGTATGTAAAATGGACAGTCGTATGAATTTTCTAAATAAGTAAACACAGTAAGGTTATTTATTGCTTTCTTTCTACATAGTTGGGGATCAGGTGCTGATCTTTGGGGGTCTGATAATGACAATCGGTTTGAGAAACCAAAAATTGATGATGGCTTATTAGAAGTAGTTGGTGTCACTGGAGTTGTTCACATGGTAAGTCGAAGCACACTTGATTTCTCTTAATAGCTTTTTTTTTTTCTTCATTTGAACCATTTCAGGGGGTATAATGGATTTATGCTTTTTGACTTGGACTGATGACCTACAAAGCCCCTTCCAACTCTGTTAATCTGACTTGACCTGAAACAATTGCACTTGTAAATTAATTGAGATGTATGTACATAGAAACAGAAGGCTATAGGAATATAGTATGGTGCTGACAGCCAGGGTATTCAGTGTGATAGTTTAAATGGAAACATATTTGGAGCAGGAGTGGTATTCACTTACCTTTGCTATCAGTTCGCAAGTGTGAGCGCATGCGTAGAGCATCAAAAACGGGATGTGATTATGTCCGGGTGGGCGGAGCCTCCCGCAGCTGCCGCTGATTTGGAGATTATAGAACATCATAAGGCTGGAAGGGACCTTGGAGGTCTTTTAACTCAACCCTTTTCTCAAGGAAGGAGGCTTTATATCATTCCAGTCAAATGATTGTCCAATCTATGTTTGAAAACCTCCTGCAATGGAGCACCAACACCTCCAGGAAGCAAGCTTAATTGTTCTCACTGTCAGAAAATTTCTCCTTACTTCTAGGTTATTATTGGGAGAAATTCCATGTGTGATGCATTTATAAAAATTATAAAAGAATCAGTTAAGTTTTACCCAGTGATTGATCTCAAAGGAGACTTGATTTTTTAAAAAAGTAGTGTTCTGATTAGTTTTTTCCCCAAATAGGGTCAAGTTCAAGGAGGTCTCCGTTCTGGCATCCGGATAGCCCAAGGCTCCTACTTCCGGGTAACACTTCGGAAGCCAATTCCTGTCCAAGTAGATGGTGAGCCCTGGATTCAGCCACCAGGTCAGATAATTATTTCTGCAGCAGGACCAAAGGTAATTTATATGTTTGGTGTCAGACATTTTATCATTACTGTAGAAAAGCAGGAAATACTGTAACTACCATATTTTTTGGAGTATAAGACGTACCTTTTCCCTCCAAAAAAGAGGGTGAAAATCTGGGTGTGTCTTATACTCCGAATGTAGCCCCGCCCAGCTTCTCAAACGGAGGTTTTAGAGGCTGAAAAAAGCATCAGAAATGACGCTTCAGAAAAGAAGCCCCAAACAGAGCTTCAGAGGCTTTTTTTCTGAAGCTCTGTTTCAGAGGATATCAGAGGCAGGAAAAAAAGTTTTTTCTGAAACAGAGTTTCAGAAGTTTCAGAGGCAGGAAAAAAAAAAAAAAAAAAAAAAAGCAAGGCACAGAGCTCACAACCAAGGAACCTATTGCTAAAATTCACCTCTGGGAACAGCTGATTGGGGGTATTCCAGGAGGCCCATCCACCTGCCCATCATCTTTTTTCTTATTTTCCTCCCAAAAACTAAGGTGTGTCTTATACTCCGGTGCGTCTTATACGCCGAAAAATACGGTATATTCAGGTCCTGTACTTAACAGACTATAAAATGTATTTTAGTTGTTAAAAATGCCAACATCTGCAATCTTTTCCCTTCAGCCTTCTTGATCTGCTATGATTGGAGGCTTTTTGGGTTAGCGAACCAGAATTACATCTCAGGAATGTATATTACTGAGAGTAGAATAAACTGCATGTCAGATGGAATGTCCTATCATGTACTCAGGGTTTTTGTGGGGAAAGAATGAAAAATGGATTAATCAACCCAGAAAATCATGGTATGTTGAAGCAGGCATAGTGGAGACCTGCTATATATGATAATTGAATTATTGCTCAAAGGTCATGTTCTCACTGTTCTCGCCATTTAAGTTTGCAGGCTGGAGTACACATAACTAAATCTCCCTCATATAATATATGCGTACATGGAAAACTAAAATGTGAGGGTCCAGCCTAACTTTTCTCTTCCTTCCCAAATATAGAGTTTTCTTTGAGTAGAACATTTTTCAACGTTTTGTAAGGTCCTTCTAACTACTTGAAGTTAACTATAATAGTTCCAAAAAATATTTGTTATCAGAGTCAGAGCTAGCTTTCTTCTAGGATAAAGTATACAGAATCAAATGAATACCTGAATCTACACCAGTGGTGGGTTGCTCCTGGAACCGGTAGTAAAAATTTGTAGTAGTTCGGAGAACCGGTAATAATATTGGCTGGCCATGCCCCCAAACTGGTCCCTGGCCCGGTCGTCGCTCGCTTACCCTGCCCATCTCATCAGAGGCTTTTTTTTTTAACCTTTAAAAGCATTTTTTCTACAACCTCTTCAGCTGAAAAAATGCTTTTAAAAGTAAAAAAAAAAAGCCTCTGATGATCTCGCAGCTCAACTGGGATCATCAGAGGCTTTTAAAAGCATTTTTTCTACAACCTCTTTGGCTGAAGAGGTTGTAGAAAAAAAAATGCCTTTAAAAGCCTCTGGTGATCCCAGTGAGTTGCCTGATCGTCAGAGGCTTTTAAAAGCATTTTTTTCTGCAACCTCTTAAGGTTGTAGAAAAAATGCTTTTAAAAGTAAAAAAAAAAATTGGCCACGCTCATCCAGTCACATTACCCCCCCACCAAGACACACCCACAGAACCGGTAGTAAAAATGTTTAGAACCCACCCCTGATCTACGCCATATTATTTCTGTATGGATAGCTTGTCAAATGTTTTCCCGCTACCTACCTCTCTCTGTATTGCATCTAATCCTTTATATTATATTGAGAACATGTTAGGATGATTACTTCCTTTGGCCACGTCTAGTGTATCTACTACAATTCTTGGTTTATTGGGAATGCCAGTTAGGGGAGGCTGGTGTATGTTAAGCCATGCCTTAGAAACAAAAGCTACTTCTTCCCTTTTTTAATTTTTTTTTATTTTATTGTATAATTGTCTGATTTCTTTTATGTGTGTGATCTTTGCAGGTCCATATGTTAAAGAAATCAAAACAGAAACAGAAGAAAACTGGAAACATAAAGGATTCAAGAACCGAGAGCACATTGGCTGATGAAGCAGGGCACTGATGAGAGATACTCATAGTTCAAATGCTGCACATCTACTGTAGATGACACCTGTCTGGCAAAATACTGTTGCATAGTTCAGGTCGTTTATGAGCCTGTCTTCTTGTTCCATGTTCATTGTTCAGTAACCATGTAACTGACATGAAAATATGATTGTACACAGGAGTTGATGGGAGGAGTTTGTATTAGAGAGCCTTTGAAAAAAGTGCATTCTTTCTCCTTTTCAGCCACTCTGTTGAAGGATTTAAGCTAGTCCAGAGAAAAATAAATAACTTGGATGAGAATCAAAAAGAACCAATAATATAATTTGTGAACTAGTTCCTGAAGTAGGGTAGATTTAAAATGATTTAATCCAGGAATGCAGTCCAGACTTTGTTCCACTGGGCCAGCTTTGTTACAATTTTTTTTTCCTGGTCTACACAACAAGGGATCCCATTGCCCTCTCCTCTTCACCTGTGCAATCCACAGCTTACCCATACTTTTTTAATCAATAATTTGTTAAACACGCAACAGAGCTCTCATTGAAGAACTGGCAAAGAAGAAGTTTAATAGGATGCAGGAGAGGGAAAACTCTCCCCAAAATGGCTAGCTGTGCTCTGTTTCGAGTTTTCATCTATGCACCACAAACACTTTCACTACACTACCACAGGAAACTTTTTGAGATAAAAGAAAGCTCCTATAATTTTGACTCTTTTTTTTATAGTTTACAGATATTTTTTATATATATATAAAACCTTCAAGCTTTGGTTTTCTAATGTATCGCATGGGTTTCTTTTCTCTAATTCTGCTCTGTAAGTCAGTGTTCCTGATTTCATTCTCTAGCCTTCTCTTTCTGTCAGCATTCAAACTGTTGCTGAAATATCAAACTCAGAATGGGTACGAAGCACAATGTAGTAAATTAATCTATTTCAACCTTTGTTTGATAAATAATTAAATGATCATGCAGAAAATGAAATACACATTGGTTTATTTTCAGTTAAAATACTTTTAACTTTTTTAAAAAACAAATAATAGATTTTGTTCTCTGAATGTGGTAATTGTGCTGATGGTGCCAAATATCCTATATAAAGACTTCCTTATGATTAAGAATCTGATTATCTGCCAGTACGTAGACATTTTTTGCTTGTTTTCATGATTATCATTTCGTGGTGTTATTTTTCCTCTATAACAATCATTCATAATTTTGGCTATCAACTCACTACAGGTAGTCCTCGACTTACAACTACAATTGAGCCCAAAATTTCTGTTGCAAAGTGAGACAGTTGTTAAGTGAGTTTTGCCCCATTTTACGACTTTCCTTGCCACATTTGTTAAGTGAGGGGTCCTTGATGCTCTCTGAGCTTGCTTGTTTTCTTGCAGGCATTTCATTACCCAGCTAGGTAACATCATCAGTGCTACCCTGAGCTACAAATGTCAATCCTGAGCTACAGAAATTCTCCATTGTTAGTTATTAGTTGTTAAGTGAATCATTGCAGTTGTTAAATTAGTGACACAGTTGTTAAATGAATCTGACTTCCCCCATTGACTTGCTTGATAGAAGGTCGTAAAAGTTGATCACATGACCTGGGACACACTGTAACTGTCATAAATAGGAGTCAGTTGCCAAAATTCAGTGTCTGAATTTTGATCACGTGAACATGGGGATGTTCACATCAAAATGGGCATAAGTCACTTCTTTCAATTCCATTGTAACTTCAAACAGTCACTAAATGAACTGTTGTAAGTCGAGAACTACCTGTATACCCTTCCCCCCCAAATGAGTAGACTGGGTTCATAGGCTAACAGAAGTTATTTGGTTCCTTTGCCCCTTTTTGGTCTGGATATAACAGAAATGAGGTTCATTTTTAATGAACTGCGACTTGCAGTTCATTAAAATTCAAGTTCAATTTCTTCAAAATTGAGATAAGCTGTGGTTGACCACAATGAAGGCTTGAATTCAGTTCCAAATTGCTGTTACTTCTAAGTTTCCATTAATTTAAAAAAAAAAACAGCAAAAAACAATAGTGGCATAAACCTCTGACTTCTTTGTGACCACACCAAAGTGAAAAATATTCTATGTTAAGTCCAAGACTCAGATGATTAAATGATGGAGAATATGTGGCTCTCTAGCTATTGCTGAACTCAAGACTCCTAGTGTTCTTCATCCTGGGTGCATTGCGTAGAATAGTTTAGCAGCATCTAGAAGATGGGTAGATGGAATAAATTGGGTACTGTTTCATATGGAGTAGCAAAAGGAAAATAAAAGGGAGAGGGGTATCCTATTTTTAGGTGTCTAACCTGTTGGAATTGTACCACACTGTAGTAATTAAATCTGAATGCCAAAACAGTAGCAGTAGCCAGGAACCTAATCAGAATCATGATATGCAACTAGGTCATAGGCAGAAGTTGTCTTTCTGTATTTGAAAATAACTTGATAGAGATCTTCACATCCATATTCAAGAAATCATGCAATTGTGCAAGTTATGCCTGTTACAGTATCCTTTCCACATGTGTAAGAATGGATACAGCCTTGCTAAGAGGTGACAAGCCTCTTTAAAGATGGATGACTTTCATTTTACGCATAGCAACAGAAGGAAATTAGAAAATATCCAGTAAACATCGGAGCTCAGAAGGTCTGCAGGATTGGCTTTCGTTTAGAAAAGATGCATTTTCAAAAGCATTATCGTTTTGCTGCTGCAAATATTGCTGCTGTATTTTCCCAGGAGAACAGGGGCGTTTGGAAAACATCTACCTGGATTCACATAGTATGTTCTTGTAGATAATACTGGTCCATCCCCAACTTTGTCAGCCATGGCTCTGTTTCAGCACTCTGTGTGTCTTGCATCTCTCGTATCTCTGTATTTGCAAATAATTGCAAAAAAATAATAATTGTGAGGTGCTCACTAATGTTCTTTAACTAGACATTTTCATGCACCAGTCTTCCAAACAGTGAGAGCATGTTGCAGTTTACAGTATTTCTTATCTCCATGCCATGCCATCCAGCGTAACATTGGAGAATGGTAGATATTTTGTAAAAGGTGTTCTTACGAGACTATCAATTTCCTCTGTTTTTTCTTAACATGTGACTTGATTCTGGACTTTCTGGTTTCTTAAAAGTTTTATCATAAAATGTTGCATAGAAATGAGAATATTTGTTTAAAGTATTTGTAGAGTAATCCTTTGCAACAAAATGTGCTTTATTTTGGGAGTTCAGAAGTTTTCATAACATCAAAATCATATATGTGCTTTTCTTTTATCAAATCGTAGAACTTGTCCGTAATCCAAAGAATGACAAAAATTGTTAGGGGATGTGTGTGCATTAGAGCAGGGAGAGACACCGACCATGTTCTGATGACATGCTTATCATGGTTTGTCTAGAACATACCTTGCTGTACATGATTCTTAGCTGTGGCCATCTCCACTTCATCTGTGGTTGCTTTTGTCTTATTAAGGAATGTTTAAAAGTTCTGATGTCATCTGCTAGTAAGTTATCTCTACTACTAACAACAAAACATACTGAAAACAACTCTTCAGTTATTTTTCATACGGATAAATAAAAGGTGCTGGAAGATGATGCTAGGATCTTTAAACCTTAAATCAGCAAAAGTCTGTATGGCGGAAACCAACATGCAGAATTAGACTTTAGCAAACATGACCTGACAAACTCAGAATGAAAATGAAATTTACTGGTAACTACTTAAGCACAAAGTCATCTTAGATCTCTTTATTCATCATCTTTACCTCTTTTTGTGTTTGTGTCTCTGTGGGTGTGTGCCTTCAAGTCAGCTTTGATTCCAGGCAGCTGCCTGGACAAAACCCCACAATTTTCTTGGCAGCATTTAACAACAACAACAAAAATCCTTCTCACCCTTATGGGTAGTATTTGTCTTCCCCAATCTTGGTCCTCTTCCAAAGGCCTGGGAGTTTGAAAGTTCTGTGCAATATCTTAGCTGTTTCTAGCACTGCACTCTTCTAGACATCTGATACTGTTCCTGGGATATGTTGGACCACTTTGGCCTTTACTTTCCACATCTGTTCTAGTTCTTCCTTCAGGTGCTCCTTCTTCCTGATGTTGCTGTCACTTGGCATTACTACATCTATCACCACTGTTGTCTTTTGGTCCTTGTCTATTACTATGTTGTCTAGTTGATTGACCAGTTCCTGCTTGTCTAGATGTGGAAGTCCTACAGGAGTTTAACCCTTTTACTCTATTTATCCATGAGTTTTTGTGAAATCTCCCATCTTGTCTTGAGATGGTCTAGCCCTTGCACTGTGCAGATGTTCCTACACACAATGCCAGCTACTTGGTTATGTCATTCAGTATATGCTCTTCCAGTGTGCTTCTTACATGTTGCCACTGTGTGTTGGACTGTCTCTGAGGCCTCTCTCATATAAACCACCTGCTTCTATGGTTCTGTACCCTTAGAAGGGAACAGACTTTTCCACTAATCAGTAGAATAACACAATTGGATTCAATTCAAAGAATATTAATGTAACTAGTTTAGTGCATAGAAAACCTGTATAGCCAACTATTTGAAAAATCTACCTTAACTGAAGACAATTACAATTAGATGGGTCCATTGCACTAAGCCAAAAATGTTGCTTGCAAATCATGGTTTGAGATTTAGCACATTTATGGAATAAACTATGGTTAAATAAATCTCAGCTTAATACAATCTGTGAATCAGTCTAAATATGTCCCCAAACTTGTGCAGCATTTGATTCTCAAAAGAGTGTGTGTGGGGGGTGAGATTGTAGCACCTTCTGCAATTCCTTAATATTTCTGCATTTTTTCCCAAGATCTCATAACTGCCTTCCACATATTTCATCTAAACATAAACCGTTTCATGCTACATTAGTTTTCATGGTAATTTAAAGGTGTTCTTCACACTTTAACTCAGGAGTGTCAAACTCGCGACGACACGTCGTCACGTGACGTATTGCAACTCCCCCCCTTCGCTAAAACGGGTGGGCGTGGCCAGAGCATGATGCATCTGGCCTGCGGGTCACAAGTTTGACACCCCTGCTTTAACTGATCTAAAATAGGACTTAGCTTTAGTTCTCTGCATGAAACATGCACGGAGTTTTGATTGCACTACTTTTTCTGAGTAAATATACAAAAATAATAAAGAGCACATTTTCTTTTGTCCTTGGCATGTTTTCTGAAATACGCTGCCCTTTAAATATTATTCACGTAGCAACATTTTTTTTTTTTTGCTTTTGAATTTCTACGCATAAGACATATGCAGTGTTTTAGCATTTTCAGCAAACATTCAGATTATTAGACAAAACTATTATTTGGACGTACATTGCTTAATATCTTTAAACATTTTCACTGCATTGCTGATCGTAGCCGGGATGCTAAAAAAGTAAACCAAATAGAATGTCTTATGTGCCTTTTTACGCTTGTGCTAAATTGCCCTTTTTTACAGCTCTGGAGTTCCCGTAGATTGCATGCCAAGTTTCAGAAGCACAATTTTTCAGAAAGTTTAATGGAATTGTGGCATGAAATAGGTTTCCTAAACTTCCAAAGGTCCTACTGCCTTTTGCTTCGTTATAACTCCCCATTTCCATATGCTGAAGGAGAAAAATGCATGCGTATTGGCTCTATTCCTCCAGTGAAGATACGATGCCACCCCGCTGACCTTACCGTCTAAAGCTGCTGTCTTGGTTTTATCTTGTTATCGCTGTGTCCTTCAACAGCATGTTATGTTTTGTTCATTTGGTTTTTGAAGTGCTCCATTGATGTACTCGGGCATTAAAAAGAGAAGTTTCTTTGCACTATGAAAAGCTTCCCTCTGTGCTGCGGTGCCTTTGACATTTTCTTTAAAAGATGGAGGGACTTTCCTGCCAGTTCCTCTTGAAACCTATGAAATGTCCAAGTAGGGTGATGTGATTGGTGGTGAGGAATAGTTTTTCTTAAAAAGATATAAGCTATCATCATAACCACGTTCATGTGAGTTGGCCTCAGACTGTTATAGCCTAATACAAATGTCACTGACTCTTTGCAAAAGTTGAATTAGAGATCTGACAACATATTCTCATGCCTTTTTCCTCCACTGAGCACTAACTATAGTTTGCTATCTGATTCCAGCAGCCTGTGATTTACAAAGTAATTGTCGGCATACTGTATATGTAATGTTCAACCGTAGGGAAATACAGGAAAGCAATGGAAGTACATGTAGTCCTCAACTTACGGCCACAATCGGAATCAGAATTTCTGGCTGCTAAGCAAGACAGTAAGAAAGAAGAAAGCAAGAAAGAGGGACATGGTGGCTCAGTGGCTAAGACGCTGAGCTTGTCAATCGAAAGGTCGGCAGTTCAGCTGTTTGAATCCCTAGTGCCGCGTAACGGGTTGGGCTCCTGTTACTTGTCCCAGCTTCTGCCAACCTAGCAGTTCGAAAGCACGCACGTAAAAAATGCAAGTAGAAAAATAGGGACCACCTTTGGTGGGAAGGTAACAGTGTTCCGTGCGCCTTTGGCGTTTAGTCATGCCGGCCATATGACCATGCAGACATCTTCGGACAGCGCTGGCTCTTTGGCTTTGAAACGGAGATGAGCACCGCACCCTAGAGTCGGGAACGACTAGCACATATGTGCAAGGGGAACCTTTACCTTTACCAAGACAGTTGTTAAACGATTTGCACCTGGTTTTGAAAATGCCTTTTGCCACAGTTGTTAAGTGAAGCGGTTGCACTTAACTGAATCCTGTGTTCCGTAAACGAATCTGGCAGTCCCCATTGACTCTGCTTGTGGGAAGCCAACTGCAAAGGTCACGAATGGCAATCACGTGACTCTGGGATGCTGCCATCATGCAATTGGTGTGGCAGTTGCCAGTTGCTGAGCACTCAAATTCTGATCACGTGACTGTAGAGACACTGTAGCGGTTATAAGTGTGAGAGCCAGTCGCAAGTCACTATTTTTTTTAGTGCTGTTGTAACTTCAAGTGGCCACTAAAGGAGCGGTTGTAAGTAGAGGACTACCTGTATAAGTTCTGAAAATAGTAGCACATGCTCCTGATTTTCAGGTCATGCTCTGCATGAGGATAATAATGTAGCATCTCGGTTGAGCATCTAGATTCTTTGTTAAACAAGCGACCAGTTAGAATAGAACTCATATTTTGAAAGCAATGCATTGCTCCAGGTTTTTTAAAGATAGCATGAATAATTTTTAACAAGGAAGAGTGAATACGTCTTTGTATATGTTAACTATTATGTATTTAAGAGGCCACTGTGTGGATAGGCTGCTTAGTTTGCAGATTGGACCACCTTTTCAGAAGTAAAAATACACCAATCTCTGGATAAGCCCAGGTCACATTGACAAAATATTAATGTTGAAATGGGTTTTGGCACAGGCTTGCTAAGAATTAATTTAATACTCTACCTAGTAATGTAATAATAATATATAAGTCTCTTGTTTACACGCTTCTTTAACTTTGCACTTGTAAATATAAGAGAAGGTTTGTTGTAATTATTACAAAATTCTTGCCTGGCATTTAAAATCCTAGACGAAAACAATGTGCATTTTAGGGTTAAGATCTCCAGCACATAGTTAAATTGTCTGCTTTGTAATTCTGCTATATTTGTTAATGCCTATTTATTCCCCATCCCGACTTCTTGCTGCCAAATAGACATAGGTGTAGCAAGTCCTTCTATAAGACATTAATAAATAAATGGAAGTTTCCCTGTAAGCTTCTATAAAAATTGCTGTTTAAAGTCACGAGGAGTTATAATTTTTAGTGCAGTATCGGAAATAAGAATTATACTAGCCTTTAACATTTGTGTTGGGTCTATGCATTCAAAATATGGGTTTGTCTCTGTCTGAAATTGCAGTCTCTGCATTCCAGTTTTACAGTTCAGGCAGGTGAATTCTGTTTTGGTCCTATAAACATGATGTTCATTTTATGGACATTGGTGTAGATCACGGGTGTCCAACCTTGCCAACTTTAAGATATGTGGACTTCAACTCCCAGAATTCCCCATGCTGACTGGGGAATTCTGGGAGTTGAAGTCCACAAGCCTTAAAGTTGGCAAGGTTGGACATGCCTAGTGTAGATGAAGTCTAAGAACAGGAATATTGGCTATTACCATTGAACTGAGTAGGATTTACACAAACTATTTCCAGGTTGGCACCCATTCAGTGTGCTGGACAGCCATGCTTTTTTTGGGGGGTGGGGTGGGGGGGTTGATGGAAATTGAAGTAGATTGGGGAAAGCTAATTTACACCATTTCTGGATCACATGTGTACATTTAGTGCCTTTCAATTCCATGGGAACAGATGATCATAATAATAATGTTCTTTTCATAAGTTAATCACGTTTGGCTAGTGATCTTTGAAGAGTTCACCTGACTCTTGTGACTTTGAGTCAGTTGAAGGTCTGAGTGCTACTAAGTGAGGTTTTCATTTTGCTAGACTATTTTCTCACTTTAAATGGCTTACTGAACTACAGTTTGCTTTAATGAAGAAAAGATACAGGCAGTTTTAGCCTACCACAAATAATCATGAACTTTGGGAAGTGATTTTGGAGAGTGGGAAATGAATCACAGAACCTAAATGAGAATAGAATCAGCTTGACTTTTGGTAACTTGGATGGGTTAGGTTGTGACTCTTTAGACTGGAATACTGCAAAATGACTACTTTTTGTGAGTTTGGTTGTCTGTAATTTTCATTAGATGGAAATCCCTTCATTGAACATGAAAACATAATTTAATGTCATTTGGCCAGTGGCTTTGATATTTACAGGGTTATGACTGTTGATTGTAAACTTCAATGTTAGTGCACTGCTTTTCATTGCTTTCTGCATTTGATAGTAAAATTCTATTTTCGGATTGGTCTCTTAAGATGCTCTTCAAAGCTGTAAGTATAGCTTTTGACTCATCTGGAGATTCAGAATCTGTAGCATTTGTATTGACTTAGATATTGACTAAATATTTCTAACTAACTAGAAGGTTTATATTTTCTGAAAATAATTTATAAGGAGAGTTTTATATGCAGTTACAGAAATTTTGATGGATATCTTAAGTTAAATATTCATCAATACTAATAAAAAGTAAGAGTCTATTTTGGGGGGAATTCCCTGATCTGATTTGTAAAAGGTAAATAATATTTTTATTTCAGATAACATTTCAGCTAGCAAGTCTAGTATATGTCAAAGTTTCTACACAAATATTGCTTCCATGCAGGAAATATGTAGCACTCATATATACAGTTGCCATAGATTACATACATATGCTTAAGTCCTCTATATGTGAACATGATTGGAAACCCTGTTTGGTGAACATTGGTAGTGTAAACATATTGTATATCCATTGAGCATTTACACTCTGACCAATACACAAATCTTTCACTATTAAGTAGAGAGGTGGAATTTGGTATGTATAAAACTGATCTTTTTTCAAGAAGGCAAATATTAAGTGCATGTTGCTTTTCTGCATGTTTCTACAGATATGAATTGCTCCTAGCTTTGATTTTCTGTCTATCTATAGATGTTATTATAATCTGTCCACTTAGTAATTCTGGATAAATGAGGCCTGTTGAGCCTCTGGGTTTCTCTGCATGAATAGAGGGGTAGAGAGTAAGGAATAAGACCTTGCTGGATATGCCTTAGGTT